TTGGGAAATGTTTTTGTTACAGCAGCATGTACTACTTTGTTCTACTCCACTACAATTCAGAGGTTAACCTGATATTTTTACTCCACTACATTTATTTTTGTTATTTTGCAGATTCTGATTAATGATGTGAAATATAATCAACCCTTAAAGCAGACTTTAGTTACACCTGAGTAAAATTCAGGGGAAGGTGATTGTCAAGTGCCAACAATCAGGCGAGATATTTGATAGTTGGTGCTTGAGAAGACTAAACATTTATCTGCAGATCTCTATAAAGTATATTCATTACTCGTTATTCTCTACTAATAGTTAATTAAAGACTGTATCTAATTGCTATTTTGCACATCCCTTTCAAGATTTCAAAGGTTTATTGGCATATCATATACACAACTACGGTGTAGTTATGCAATGAATAAAAACCTTAGGTCACAGGTTCCTCAACAGTGCATTACAAGACATCTATCAATATGTGTGTACCTCCACCATTAAACTGTCATATTCTGCACATTTCTTATACTATCTACATACATAAGAGTATAATTAATGTGTATAATATCAGTTCAAATAAGTGCTTCAACATAGTTAACATTGCAGGAAAGCAATATATTAGACGTTAAGTACTTTGTCAGGCTTAATATTTATCTGTAGATAGATACCCCCAAAGCTTTTTTATTATTTGAAAGAAGACCTTAACCTAAAGTATTCTTTAATGTGTTAATAAAGGTGAATTAGTTTGTCTGTTTTGCACATCCTCATATTAATATCTTTGTACATCGTGCACTAAACTGTTTTATTGTAGAGATCACTTACAGTATCTTTTTTTTTATATTCTATATTTCTATCATTGACCTTATATAATAATTCAATAACGTGCTTTAACCACTAGGCGGTGCACACAAGGTACACACAGCATACAAATAATAACTTTGTATTATTAGTGTAGGACACTTATGTATGTATAACATCTGAAGATGTGTAGTTTTATTCAAGTTTTTACATAATTGTACAGGATATTGCTATACTATTTCTCATGTTTTACTTCTACACATTAATATCTGATTTGTAAAACATCACAGACAGAAAGGTATATCCGTCATGCTAAGCTATTGAAATTGTGATTCCATAGATTTGTCTCCCATCACCCAAATCCCCTGACTATTCTCTCAACTCAGTATTTACATTCTTATATTCAAATAAAATCAGTAATATCTTTAAAAACATGCATTGCAGCTAAAACATCCAATCAGCGAGCTGAGGATCTTTCCTACGTATGTTTCCGGTATTGTTCCTGTAATGAGAGTTCACATTTATGCTACATTGAAGGGTGGAATTGACTACACAATAGGGCTGAACGATATACCGTGTCATGGCGATAACCGTGGTATGCGCATGCGCGGTATTCACGCCGCAGGGACGTGCGGTTTTATTCATTTTTTTTTTTTTAAATGCTAACGCACTTTAGCACAGAATTCAAAAATAAAGATACCCTTATTACTTATCGAAACTGCACATACAATATATCCGATTAAAGCGGAGACTCCACAGATTATTTAAAGGGGACCTATCATGCACAATGCACCTTTGGACGTCTTTTATACATGAATATGTGTCCCCGGTGTTCCAGGGAACTCACCAAGTGTCAGAAAACACAACCCTCTCTATTTTCCTCCTTCGCCAAATCTCTAAAAAAGTGGCTGAAACGGATCTGAAAAAAACGGATCCAGATTACAACACTTTCCTACGTCACAAAGAGATGTGCTCCGCTTATTGGTCAACTCTCCACCTATCAGGGGAATGAGCCACGGCCACGTGCATTGCCAAACCTCTCATTCGCATATAGGCTATCGGCAGGCTAAATCAACTCCAGTCACATCTGTGTTTTTGTCTGCTCTTGCCAGGATGTCTAAGCGAGTTAAACTTTGTGCTGTTGTTGGCTGCAAGACTCGAGAAGGGGGACTGCATGCAATGCCATCAGTGGAAAAAGAAAATAATCTGTGGCTAGACTTCATTTTCAAGGGACATGTGCCAGAAGACCACGGCAGATTTCTGTTTGTGTGTTCCAAACATTTTACGACGGACATGTTTATGAACTTCTCTCAAGTCCAACACGGATATGCCTCCAAATTAATGCTAAACCCGGGATCAATACCAACCATCCGGGACCAGGCCAGTGAGGACACATCCAATTTTGAAGCTGTAAGTTTTTATTTAGCGGTGTTTTTCCTGATAAAGCTATCTCTAGCTTGTAGTATGTAGCATGTAGCATGTAGCTTCGCCGTATCAATGTCGCCTCAAACCCAAATAGTAATCGGTTAGGTGTTTATATGTTTTTGTAACATTTTATTTTGTACGCTCCGCAGTCATTGCTTTGTCTTTTATTTTAATTATCAGGCATTTGCTAACATGTTCAGACATACTGCCGTAATGGCGATCTGTGTGAAGGCTGTAAAGCCACGCCCTAGCCGATAACACAAGTATTTATTCTCCTATTTATTAGTATTTTGTATCTTCTAAAATCATATTGAGTAAGTTATAATAACAAACGTAATCTTCTGTAGGTAAGTGCCGAACTCATGGATGTATAATAAGAACTGGATACAGCGTGGGAGGCGGGGCCTCATTCATTCCTATGAGAGTTGCTCATTAGCGCATGATGACAAAATGGCCCAACTTTTGAGAGAGCGAAACGTCACAGATTACCCGGCATGCCTGAGAAGTACCCGTATATGCACTCATAGAGCATGCGCAACTGTAACCACGCCGCCCAAAAGGCTCGTTCACATTAAGCACGTGAATTTGCGTACACGTAACCGCGTGACAGCATGGTACTGGATTTATATTAATGAGGCGGCAGTTAGCAGCTAGCGGCTAGCTAGTAAATTATGCTAAGTTACACATCAATCGTTATGTACTTTTATATTACGCTGACATCAGGATCTAGTGATATCCAAGCAACAGAGCTTCATTTAGCATGATACTTGTGTGGGTTGTACATGAAACCACTTGGTAATATATACAAATGTATATGTTGAAGCCTGTTATGATCAATTGTGAGTTAAAACTTTATCTAAAAAGTAAAGCTGATGATGGATTACTGTGGTGGAGTTAAAATAACAATAGCCTATTTCTTTTTGAAATGTGATGGAGTAAAAGGATAGTTCTGTGATTATTCATGTTAAGTAGCCCACAAGTAACTAAAACAATTGCAAGTGCAATAAGAAGCTACAGGAACGTTAATCTACGTCGGTAATATTAACTTTATTTAATACAACATTTACGGTACAAGATTTACATCATACAGCCCATGTAGTATAATATTTTACAAATGATGAATTACAGCAAACATGTGCAATATATCCATTATTACAGCTCCGTGGGCAGTAAGGCGATATGGTCCGTTGTTATTGTGCATCCATGGGTAAAGAGAAACTCATGTAGTACTGAACACGTAACATGAACGTGCCGGGCGGCGCGGTTTCGTGGGTTAGATGCGCGTTCATAATGCCGAGGGAAATAACTCTCAGAATAACGTTATTAGCACATTTTTACAACTTGAGGAACGAATGTTTTTAATAAGGGCTATAGGGTACAAACGTTCATACTGGGTAGTTTATTTAGTTTAAAAATTATCCAACGAGTTACAGACCACTCTTTCCCCATGTAAGTCAATGGGAAAAAGTGTTTCCGGGCCCAGCATCCTAAAGGAAGTGTAGTACCGCCGTTTGACCAGCACGAATATTCTCATCAGACTCCGGCGCACTTCCTGGGGGCTTGCGCTGGCTCCCTGGTGCCATTAACTCTGTTCTGTGTGTATGTAAATGAGCTGTGAGGTTCCCTAGATATCATTGGCTGTTCCGCCCGCGTTTCCGAAGAGGGGATTGGATCGACGTCCTCCAATCCCTGCACACATCCGGCACACCTTCCGGGGGAGGAGTACAAAGGCCGCCATAATTCGAGAGGGTCTGCTGTGGACCAGAACTGGACCAGGAAGTTCGGCGGGATAGGAGGACCAGGATCCAGAGGGTTGACGTGAGTACGAGATTGCGAGCAGCTAGTGGAATGGCGTCTTTGAGTCCTGGAGAAGAGGATATGGAAAGTGCATCTGAAGGAGAAGGAGGATGGAATGAAGTAAGGAAAAAGACTTCAAGAAAGAAGATAGACATGTCAAGTGACAGTCTTAGTGAATCTGATTCACGGAATGAGTTGAAGAGAGTAAAGAAAAAGAATGAGAATGAAGATTGGAAAGTGATTGTGGAGTTTGGTGAGCAAACCGCAGCTAAGCTACATCCAGTGGCCCTGACTAAAGCAATTCACAAAGAAATTGGATCGATAAAGCAAGCAAGATTCCTGAGCAAAGGACGGATGTTGATTGAATTGATGAATGCAAAACAACAGGAAAAGTTACTGAAAATGAAGACCCTGAATGAAGTTCGAATTAAATGCCATGTTCCTGGAGCAAATCGGAAAATACTTGGAGTTATCAGTGGAGTTCCCTTAGAAATCGGCATAGAAGAGCTCAAGAAAGAAATTAAAGGGGGGAAAGTGTCTGTAGTTAAGCGTCTTCCTACTAGGTATCAGGGTAAGATAGTGGATAGTTTGTCTGTTCTTCTTCAGTTTGAAGAAACAATTCAACAGAAGATAATGATCGGTTGCATGAGCTTTCCAGAAAGAGAATTCATCCCTAAACCTCTGCGGTGCTTTAAATGCCAAAGGTTTGGGCATGTGGCAGACAAGTGCAAAGCAACTAAGCCCAGGTGTCCAACATGTGCGGGGGAACATGAATATGGTAGTTGTGCTGCAGGTGCTAAGGTGAAATGTTGTAACTGTGGTGGGGAACATAGTGCTGCGTATCAGGGCTGCGAAGTGCAGAAAAAGACCAAGGAGGTGCAGAGATTCAAAGTGCAAAATAAAGTCTCATATGCTGAAGCAACAGAAAAGGTTTCACTAAACATAGCTAGGAAATCCCAAGTAGCAACAAGTATATTCTCTTCAAAAGATTTTCCCAAACTCACACAGGCAAAGGAAAGCTCCACAAAGTGTTCACATAAATGTGTGATAGGAGAGGATGCATTGATTGTTAATAAGTACAAATGTGTGGCCTTTATTGGGAAAGTGGTGAATGTTGCTTTGCAACAAACAAAAAAGAGGTCAAGACTGAAAACAATAGTGGAAGCAGCAGGTGAATTTTTGGGGATAAAGGATATAACCGTTGAAATGATGCATGATATGCTAGCCTCCAATAATGATGATTCACAGATTAGTGAGTAGATGAATGGTTTTTCTCATTCTGCAGTGGAATGCTAGAAGCCTTATTGCAAATGGACAAGAATTCAAGACTTATATATATCAGTTAAAAGAAAAACCAGATGTTATTTGTATTCAAGAAACATGGCTGACGACTCACTTGGACTTCATAATTGGGGGATATACTGCTATAAGACAAGATAGAAATGATGGCCAGGGAGGGGGATGTGCAATCTTTATCAGAGAAGTAATGTCTTATAGTAGGCTAACATTTAAGAACAGTCATGTGTTTAGAGTTTTGAGAGGTCCTGATAATTTATTCCGGCAAATTATTCTGACCTCCTAATTGACCTTTCCGAAGATTATTGAGTCTATGTAAGTTTGCTGCGTGGCTCAGATCCACCAACGTCAGCAAGATCTCACCTCTACTAACTTCCCGAAGAACCAAGGTTTCAATTAACTGCTGTTTCAATTCAGACAACTCTTTTTTAATCTGTTTAAGCGATCCCGAAGGATTTTGATATCAGTAAATGGAGTGTGCTCCTACCTAAGTGTGTGTGGCAGGGTGCAATCTTACCTTTGACGCAGGAGAGGAGGGCACAGGTGTCTTTTAAAGGATCCCAATCCAACAGGTGGGATTCAGTTTATTTGAAGAAAAATAGGTCCAAACTAATACAGGGTTTTTACCTTCTCTCTTTACAACATTATAATCATCCTAACAAAAAAAACCGTGCTGTGATCATGTTCAAATGAAACTTTAATTCACAGTCTTACATTTATTACCAAAATGTTTTAATTTCAACTGCCCATTTCAGTTGTGACATTTTAAAATTCTCCCGATAGAATTTAGAGGTATTTCCTCGTAAAAAGACCGGTGACAATAAAAAGCGCATTCAACTTTTCATTCACCCATTTATTCACATCAGTTTTCATACACTTTTTCCGACACAGACGGCGGATTAACCTTTCAAAAACCCATTCCTGTCCGCAAAATTCGAAGGAAGGTCCTTACAGGTCGCAGTATTTATAATTTTCAAACACTTTTTCCGACACAGACGGCGGATTAACCTTTCAAAAACACATTCCTATCCGCAAAATTCGAAGGAAGGTCCTTACAGGTCGCGGTATTTATAATTTTCAAACACTTTCTCTCATCAAATCATTCCACTCAGCCAACAACCAATAAATTCGAGAGATATTTACCCCGTCTAGAAGGACCTTACCGAGAGCTATTAACCCAGCTCTGAAGCACACAGCCTACCCGGAGAGAGTCTACCAGGGGTCACCCCCCCTCTCTCGCGCTCTCTCAAAAAACCAGTCCCTTTATGCTAAAAAACTGGATCCTAAACCCAAAAAAAACAACTCCTCCTCTTACACCCAATTCAGTTGAAAACCGCGCATGCGCATAATGTACAAGGCTGAACATGTCCCAACATGTTCCACAGCTGTTATGGGATAAGACACCCTTTCATATGAGGTAAAAAGGACATGAACTCTCTTTGGCCTCTTAATGTTTCTCCCCTTAGTGTGAAGCCCCCCCCCCCCCCTCTCTCTGGACTGCTGCCAGAGGAGAGGAAGAAAACTCAACCTAAACAACCCACTTGGTTTTGTTTATACTGTAACTATAGAAAACCTAAAATATGAAGCATTTTCATTGTGGGTTATACAAGAATATAATTGATTATATTTGATTATAACTAACTTTCGTTTTTAAGTATTAAACATACTATGAAAACTCACAACACCCTCTTTTCAAAACGCAAAGTTCTCAAATAGCAACAGAAAAAATTGTAAGCATAGATACATATTCAAAAACCGTCAAGAAGCATTCTCATTATGGGTTTATACAAGAATATGATTGATCATGTATGATTTATAATTAACTTTCGTTTTTTAAGTATTCACTTCATACCATGATCTCAATTAACTTTCGTTTTAAGTATTCACTTCATATGAAGATCTCAACACCCTCTTTTCAAACGCAAAGTTATCAAATAGCAACAGATAAAATCGTAAAAACACATACATATTACATCCGTAAAACTCCACGCATCAATATCATGAAAAGTTCTTCAGTATGTGTAATCAGGACGACCCTTTGATGAACCTGGTGTGAAAAAACACCGAAAACATAGTACCGTACAGGAATGTCCTTGGGCGAGGGGCCCATCTGTTGTAGACTCCTAAATCCATGTTGCTATCTGATGTATATCCTTGACCCTGACCATGGAGGGGTTGCAGTTTTTCGCTGGACGACATCTCCAAACGAAAAACCAGATAACTCGGTCGACAGTTGTTATGGATTTTTTAGACCTCGTAAATAATCGCTCATGACTTTGTGACAAGGTCAATGAGTCCCCACACAATGATAGCACAAACGAGGAACCAGAGGCATATGAAACAGCTTAGCTGGCCCTCGCTCATGACATCCTGTGTGTGCAGTGTGAGATTAGGTGTATGTGGTGCCAGTGTGGTGCTGGTGGTACTTGTTGTCGTCTTTCGTTGGTGACTAGGACACATCACTTGTTGTCGTCTGTTTCTACCGTCTCTCCTGGCCTGTGACTACGACCTTGCAGTGGCTGGCGTGGACCCACGTGGCTCTCTCGGTGACCTTGACCGCTGTCTGGGTGATGAGGAGCACCTGGTAGGGACCTTGCCAATGGTTGGATTTCCAGCTCTTTCTCCGGAAGTCCTTGACCAGCACGAAGTCGCCGGGTTGGAGATGGTGAAGTGGACCAGTGGCAGGGGGTAGGTAGGGTTGCTGCTACCTGGCGTCTGATATCTGACCATGCAGTTATCAGGTAGTCGTCATCCTTTCCTGGGAAATCCACTGCGATCTGAGTGGCTCAGCGGGTAGAGATGCAGCCTGTCCCACAGAGCTGGAAGAATCATCCTCCTTCTCTGGCGGGGTCATAGGTGACTCAGCCGCTGATCCATTAATAATTGTTTCAATTGAAACAATTTCCCCCAGGAATCCTTCCAAGGGGTCTGGTACTCCATGTTCCTCTGGAATGTCTATTGACAGCAAGGACATCTTTTTGGCTTGGGCACCCGGGGAGACCTCTGAATCAGATCACTTTTTTCTCTTACGAGTCTCCTCCTTTTCACCGCTTGCCCCTTCCGGTCCTTCTGCACAGGTTTCCTGGGTCCAGGAGTCTACTTAGCTTCACTTGAGGCACTGTGACTGAAGTTTCCCCGCTAGGCAGGTTCAAATCCTCTTGGTAGATTGCTGAGGTATTAATCTCAACAATATAGCTAAAATCAAGTTTAAATCATTTCTCTGATCCATAAAAAGTTGTTTCAGTTAAAATAAAAACTTCCCCAAGGGTTTTCTCAAGAGGGTCGTGTATTCCATATTGCTCTGTAATTTCTATACACAGCAAGGTGATTGTTTCTCCTCTTACTCAGTTGGCCTCTAATGGCAGAAAGCACTGGGCCATAATTTACTCTTATCAGTTTAACGACCTGACAGCCCTACACCTCCATGCTGTGTGAGAACCAGCAAAAAAGAAGGAGAGATGTGCTCAAAAAATCAAATTTTAAATGAATACTCTTTTTAGGGTGTAAGCGTATATCAATTAAAAATAACTGAAAAGAAAACTAATAGTGTAAAGTTAAAAAACAATGAGAAAAATAATATAAAGGTTATTTTCCATTTCCTCTTTGATACTGAGGTATTCTCCATCCAAGCTCTAATGATCCATATGCTAATAGACAGAGTTTCGTCTTGCCATTTTTCTGCATAATTCACTATAGATTCTAACAGTTCTACTGCTAAATCCTTTGCATTGGAGCTATTGCTTGTTACTCAGATTTAAATTCCCTCTTTTGCTCTATAAAATATCCCTTGGTACAGAATTCACCAAGACAAATTCTAACTTATTGCGGGAAGATCCCACAAAAAGCCATCCTCTCCTGTGGAAGAAAGCACATTAACTGCCACCTGTGTGTGCAAAACATGTCATGTGATGTGAGACTGATAGCATCAATAGTGGATGGGTAGGCCGCAGTCATATTCCTATCTGGATTCTAAACTCAGTTGGCTTGGGTGAACCGGTCCTCTCTTCTGGAGTGAAACTACTTTCCCAGAAAATTGACTTCACTGTATCCAAACCTTCTGATCTAGTTTTAAGCTAACCCTTCTCTGGACTTTGCCCCTTTCTGGTCACCCATACACGATTTCTGAATTTAAACGGAAAAGGTGTGATAGTTAGATATGACCTGACCTTTGCCCTAGGTAGCTTTTCCATACTTATAGAAATATATTCAGCCTTGTCAAATTGATTGGAATGTCCCAATTTGTTTTACAGTTTTTTATACTCCACTCTTTGGCTGCTCTAACGCCTGATACTTATATGGTAAAGACCAGATAGGTGTGATTTCTTTATCCTGCAAGGGTGACAAAAACTTTCTCATCTTTAAAGTGAGTGACATTATCCATTCCTATTTTCTCAGTTTTTAGGAAAAATACTTATATGTTCCGCCATTTGAGCAGACACTGTGTTCCAGTTACTCTGGTCAGAGGATAAACATGTTTATGACTCCCTCCATTTATAAAAGGTCACAAGGAAATACTTATTCCCACTGGGAGTGCGGGTCAGAAAAGGACCTGCTTATGTCAGCACTAAAAATGGTTAGTGGTCCTTCCTCTATTATTTTAAGATGCTCAGGATGAACTTTCTTAAACCCATCCACCTCTACACATTGAAGACATGTTGACCATGTGTGTTGTAGGTGCAATCGCAGTTTTGGTAAGAGGATTTTATTGTGGAGACAATATTTCCTCATCTGAAATAGGCCCACATGGCCTAAACTGCTGTGTAATTCACGCACAACCTAAGGAGCTTCTTCAGGTGGTACGTGAATGCTTCCACCCTTTTTCCATATTCTAGGGAATATGGCAGTCCGGTGGTTAACTCGTCCCGTGCTTTAAGCAAGGTCAAACTTCTCTATTACCCTGATAGTTAAATTATATCTTATCTATATGGCTACGGACATGATTCCATTCTACATGCCTGCCTTTAACTCTGCAATAAGACCCTCAATAGATGGGCAGGTGTCAGCGTTTCACCTTTCACATTTTTGAACTGCCTTTGTTTCCAATTATTAAGCTCTTCTTTACCCGCTTTTTAATAATAATCACTATCAGTAATAATACGGATGTGTGCTATTTTTCCTTTTTTAGCAAAAGGAAGTCCCTCAACAAATGGCCTTTTCCTCAGCAGGCTGTACCTGGTATTGCACCCTTTTGCTTGCAAAGTACTTCACCTGAATTAGTTTTCTTTATAAAGGCCCAAGTGGCTGCTTGGTCACCTTTTCGCAAACTCCCCTCTGTCAACAGTGTTATCTTTGGAGTAGCGGTTTTCTGTAAGGGTTTCAATGTTTCCCTTTGTGGCTTACTTCCTGAGGTCCTCTGCACCCCACATCTGGATCAGACATTATCATCTTCTATTTTCTTCATCTACTCATCATTGTTTTTGCTCCCTAAACAGTTTGTTTAGTAGCTTCAGATATTTAAAAATAAAGAGTGTATATGCACATTTTGGTACCTTGAGACATTTCCCTCAGGGCTGGATACATTCTTAATGCAAGTGCAAGATGCTTCTCTTCAGGTGATAATTTTCCCTCTGTTCCTGATCAAGTCATGGACATGAATAACACAGATTTTCTATCACCCTGGTTCCTTATCTCCACATTGTTAGTTTCTGAGAATGGGTCTCAACATACTATTTTGGTTTATGATATTTGATATTATTGTTCTGGTGTTAAGATAATTTTTTGAATCTCCCTCTTTTCTTAACAACTGGAGCTATGTCTATTTTAGATCCGACTTGGTTAAGAGTTGATTTATTCATTGGTGAGAGGAACACTCTTCCCCATGTGCTGGGTGGGGGTGGGTAGCCTGGTAGAGTTCCTTAAAATCTCCAGATCTTCCTCTGTGCTGAGGCCATAAAACTTTTAATGGTCTTTCGTGGTCTGCTCAAATTGTCTTCCCCTCCAGAGGTCACGCCTGTCTTTGACCCTGTGTGCTGCGTGTTTCTGCAGCACCTCGGGAGCAGAGAAAAGAGGAAACCTTTTTTCCAAAAGTGCATTCTCCTTCATGAGAAAAATAGCACCACATTTAACTCTCATTGACTTGTCTTTAAAGCGTTCTTTAAGGCTTGAATTGAGTTTTCCGTTGTGTAACGGAAAATCCCATTCCCAAACAGGGGTCAAAAGTAAATAGTTTAGTTGATTTTGGTAAAGTATTTGAGCTTTAGCTTCGCAAAAACTTTCTCATATTAGTTTTGAAGATATTTTTGGGACTTGATATCTGCTGATAGTTCCCACATAGGTTTTTTCTTAAAAGTACATTCAAAACAACCGGTATTTTTGGGTCATATGATCACCACATCGCCTTCTGACAGTTTAATAGTCCTTATCATATTATCACACTGTTATTGCATGCTAGGACCTATTCTCTTTGCCAGAGCTACTGCTATTTCTCCTGCATGTTTTAGCTTCCTATTAGCAGGGTTTATTAACATGGTTTGTTGATCCAGTTTAAGATTTTCAATATTTGACATTATTATTTTCCAACATTCCTTTTTCCTGAATATCATGTCTAACAATGTGTTTTCTTTTCTTCTAGGAGTAGTAGATGGGATACTCCTAAATGGCATTTTTTGAGCTTTTATCCCTGTATGGTGGAGATAGGGTCTCAAACATTATACCACCTGCTTGTTGCTCTCTGTCAAACGGTAGTCTGACAGGAAAGTATTTTGGTCGCGGTACGCCCGTGGGTCTGGGCTAAGCTGACCAGGGCGGGCAGAAGCTCCGGATTTTGCTTCTGTGTATCCCCCCTGTGTGGTTGGCTCCGAGTCATTAAAAACTGCGTTCTAACCTCGTCCGCCATTTATTTTTGTTTGTTTGTTTTTAAAAAACAACACAAAAATGTATTTAAAGGGTTCAAGTTCACTCTTTTATACACATGCAAGTTCCTAGGCTTTACTCTCGACGGGTGTACAGTCCGACTATACCGTCACTTGGTTCTAAGTTCTCTTTCTGGATTCAGTTAGTACATGCGGGTACCTCAGCTAAGAGTTTTATTTACCGAGCTTCGAATTTTTTAAACAGCATAGGTACCTTTAGACCTATGTTTATCTTTATTAAATCTCCTATTAACTCTTCCCCACGTTATGTTTTAACGCAAAAGTTCAAACCGCAGCTCTTGGTCAAGTCCTACCTATAAGTTTCAAAGTAATTGGACAAGTACTGAGCAGTGCTCCTACGGCTGACTTCACTTTAGCCACCTAAACCTGTGTTAAAGGGACCACAGGCTTCTCAATTTGACTAGGGGAAAATGAACCTTCTTTAGCTTCTTTAATCAGACAGCTATATCCGATATAATATAACCCTCAGTCCGGTGCAATAGTATCAACTTAAATTACTACACTTTCAGGTTTAATTATATATATTCTAGGATTTGGGGTAGGTATTTTAACAAGACTTTCAGCCTGTATTTCGCTGATTTGTATTCATCGACTTTTTTCACTAGGTCGTTTTGGTTCTTGTATTTTGACTCTGTAAAAATATTACTTTTCACAGAGCCCCACGTTGGGCGCCATGTTTAGAGTTTTGAGAGGTCCTGATAATTTATTCCGGCAAATTATTCTGACCTCCTAATTGACCTTTCCGAAGATTATTGAGTCTATGTAAGTTTGCTGCGTGGCTCAGATCCACCAACGTCAGCAAGATCTCACCTCTACTAACTTCCCGAAGAACCAAGGTTCAATTAACTGCTGTTTCAATTCAGACAACTCTTTTTTAATCTGTTTAAGCGATCCCGAAGGATTTTGATATCAGTAAATGGAGTGTGCTCCTACCTAAGTGTGTGTGGCAGGGTGCAATCTTACCTTTGACGCAGGAGAGGAGGGCACAGGTGTCTTTTAAAGGATCCCAATCCAACAGGTGGGATTCAGTTTATTTGAAGAAAAATAGGTCCAAACTAATACAGGGTTTTTACCTTCTCTCTTACAACATTATAATCATACTAACAAAAACACCGTGCTGTGATCATGTTCAAATGAAACTTTAATTCACAGTCTTACATTTATTACCAAAATGTTTTAATTTCAACTGCCCATTTCAGTTGTGACATTTTAAAATTCTCCCGATAGAATTTAGAGGTATTTCCTCGTAAAAAGACCGGTGACAATAAAAGCGCATTCAACTTTTCATTCACCCATTTATTCACATCAGTTTTCATACACTTTTTCCGACACAGACGGCGGATTAACCTTTCAAAAACCCATTCCTGTCCGCAAAATTCGAAGGAAGGTCCTTACAGGTCGCAGTATTTATAATTTTCAAACACTTTTTCCGACACAGACGGCGGATTAACCTTTCAAAAACACATTCCTATCCGCAAAATTCGAAGGAAGGTCCTTACAGGTCGCGGTATTTATAATTTTCAAACACTTTCTCTCATCAAATCATTCCACTCAGCCAACAACCAATAAATTCGAGAGATATTTACCCCGTCTAGAAGGACCTTACCGAGAGCTATTAACCCAGCTCTGAAGCACACAGCCTACCCGGAGAGAGTCTACCAGGGGTCACCCCCCCCTCTCTCGCGCTCTCTCAAAAAACCAGTCCCTTTATGCTAAAAAAACTGGATCCTAAACCCAAAAAAACAAACTCCTCCTCTTACACCCAATTCAGTTGAAAACCGCGCATGCGCATAATGTACAAGGCTGAACATGTCCCAACATGTTCCACAGCTGTTATGGGATAAGACACCCTTTCATATGAGGTAAAAAGGACATGAACTCTCTTTGGCCTCTTAATGTTTCTCCCCTTAGTGTGAAGCCCCCCCCCCCCCCCTCTCTCTGGACTGCTGCCAGAGGAGAGGAAGAAAACTCAACCTAAACAACCCACTTGGTTTTGTTTATACTGTAACTATAGAAAACCTAAAATATGAAGCATTTTCATTGTGGGTTATACAAGAATATAATTGATTATATTTGATTATAACTAACTTTCGTTTTTAAGTATTAAACATACTATGAAAACTCACAACACCCTCTTTTCAAAACGCAAAGTTCTCAAATAGCAACAGAAAAAATTGTAAGCATAGATACATATTCAAAAAACCGTCAAGAAGCATTCTCATTATGGGTTTATACAAGAATATGATTGATCATGTATGATTTATAATTAACTTTCGTTTTTTAAGTATTCACTTCATACCATGATCTCAATTAACTTTCGTTTTAAGTATTCACTTCATATGAAGATCTCAACACATGATTTAGAAATAGTGGGTGTAGAAGTTTGGATTAATAAAAGGAAAATTAGTGTCCTGAATTTTTATAATCCATGTAATAAACTCAAAATAGAGGAATTAGACAGTCTTTGCCAAGGAAATGAAATAATATGGTGTGGTGATTTTAATGCACATAATACAATGTGGGGAGGGAGATCAACAGATTACAACGGACAGGTGGTGGAGGACTTAATGGAGGCAAAGGAATTCGTTTGTTTAAATAATGGGCAAGGTACAAGACTCAATTTTAGAGATGGAACAGAGTCTGCGATCGACCTAACTCTTGTAACAAGTGAATTAGCTTCGGGTAGCAGTTGGGAAGTATTGGCAAATAACAGTATTGGGAGTGATCATCTTCCGATTATAATCAAGTTTGATATAAGTAATGTGGTTGAGCTAGATGGTATCATGAGATGGACCTTTTCTAAAGCAAATTGGGAGATGTTTGCTGAATTGTGTGATAAGGAATTTGATCAGATTGATATGGCAGGAAGTATTCATGAAATAAATGAACAATTTACTTCAAATATAATTAAAAGCGCTAATCAAACTATTGGGAATAAAACTGGTAAACTTAGTAAATGTGTTAAGATGGTACCGTGGTGGAACAAAGAATGTAATGATGCAATTCGAAACAAAATCAGGCTGTTTGGAAAGCTAAGAAAGACACATTCATTACACAATTTATTAGAATATAAAAAGGCACAGGCTCAGGTAAGGAACATTGTTAAAAGAGCAAAAAGGGAGTGTTGGAGAGGATTCTGTTCAAGTATTGGGAGAACTACACCATTAGATAAAGTATGGGGAATGGTTAAGAAGATGAGGGGAATAAGACAGCAGAGTAACCTGCCAGTGTTGGAGAATGGAGGGGAACCTGCCACCGGTGCTATGGATGGAGAAGGCAGAAATTCTAGCTAAGAATTTTGTCAAAGTTCATTCTTCGGAAAATTTGACAGAAGAAGGTAAGATCAGGAGGCAGGAAGTGTTAGATGAACATCCTAATGTATATGAAGATAGACATTCGTCGCAGAGTGTTGTAAATATACCTTTTTCTATTCAAGAGGTGAGAAGAGCATTAAGTAAGTGTAAAATGACTGCTCCTGGGAAAGATAATGTATGCTATATAATGTTGACCAAATTAAGTGATTTTGCATTAGAAAAGCTGCTGGAGATGTACAATAAGGTTTGGGAGAAAGGGAAGCTGCCAATAATATGGAAAGAGTCTGTTATTATTCCTATTAGAAAACCTGGGAAAGATCCAACCAGTCCAGGCAGTTATAGACCTATAGCTCTGACATCGCACTTGTGTAAAGTTATGGAAAGAATGATAACAGAAAGGCTGACATACTACATTGAGAAAAATGAACTAATGACTCCTTATCAGAGTGGGTTTAGAAGAGGGCGGAGTACTTTAGATCCATTGCTGTGCCTGGAGTCTGAAGTCAGGAAAGCACAAGCGAATAAGGAGTGTGTTGTAGCTGTATTCTTTGATGTGGAAAAAGCTTACGATATGATGTGGAAGGAAGGATTATTAATAAAACTGGACATTATGGGTCTGGGAGGTAATGTATATAATTGGATTATGGATTTTTTGTTTGGCCGTGCCATCAGAGTCCGAGTTGGCAATTCATATTCTCGAAGGCATGACGTTGAAAATGGAACCCCGCAGGGGAGTGTAATTTCTATCATGATAAATGATATATACACACAAGTAGGATCTGATATTGGTAAGTCACTTTTTGCAGATGATGGAGCTATTTGGAAAAGGGGCAGAAATGTAAAATATATTGTAGCTAAGATTCAGGAAGCCAATACGGAAATTGAAAGCTGGTCTCTGACATGGGGGTTTAGATTGTCGGTGGAAAAAACTGAAACTTTATTTTTTACGAGGAAAAGGATAAGTGAGGAGGTTAGGTTACAACTTTATGGACAAGATCTAAAGAAAGTGAAGACATTTAAATTTCTGGGAATATGGTTGGACGAGAGAGTCACATGAAGTACGCACATTGATAAAGTAGTGGATAAATGTAAAAGGGTTTTAAATGTTATGAGGTGCTTGGCAGGCACTAAGTGGGGGGCTGATCAAGCTGCTTTGAGGAACGTATACACAGCCTTAATAAGATCAGCCATAGAATACGGACTAATAGTGTATGGTTCAGCTGCATATTCTTCTCTTCAAAAATTAGATATAGTCCAGGCACAAGCACTAAGGATATGCTGTGGGGCAGTCAGATCTACACCAGTGTCGGCACTTCAGGTAGAGGTCGGAGAAATACCTATTTCTTTGAGGAGAAAACAGTTAATTGTTCATTACTGGGCAAATCTTCAGGGCCATAAAGATACTCACCCTACCAAACAAACTGTACAAACAAGTTGGGAAAGTAACAAAATAAAAAAAGAAAGTTTTTGTGTTTGTGTTTCAGAAATATGTAAGGAATTCAAAGTTAAAGAATGGAGTATTAGTCCGACAGTGGTGTTATCAGCTGTTCCACCATGGTTGCTACCTCAACCTATAGTAGATTTATCACTATTGAAACGGTTACATTCAATGAAAAACAAAATCAATGTACAGGCTTATGTGAACACTGTTCTACATGAACAATATGGGCACTTTATAAACATATTTACTGATGGATCCAAAAATCCAGAAAATGGTCTAACTAGTTGTGCATTTTATGTTCCTGAATTAAAAGTAAAAGTGGGAAAGCGTACGAGTGATCACATTGCAGTATATACAGTAGAGATGATGGCTATCTCACTAGCACTTCAGTGGGTAGAGGAAACACAGCCAATGCGAGTGGTCATTTGCTCTGACTCCAGTGCAGCTCTGGAGAGTATTAATAGCTTCTCTTCAGACTGTCGTCAGGATATTTTACATGAAATTTTACACATCATGTTTAGGTTAGTTCATCTGGGAATTGTTGTTCAATTTGTGTGGGTTCCAGCGCATGTGGGTATTAGAGGGAATGAGGTAGTGGATCAACTGGCAAAATGTGGTTTGAAAGCAAACCAGATTGATATTATGGTACCCATCAGCCGATCAGAAGTCAAATCTGTTACAAAAGTGGTTATCAAGCAACAATGGCAAAAACTATGGGACAGTAACATCAAAGGAAGACATTTATACCAGATACAAAGGGAAGTAGGAACAGGAAGCACTTGGGGGAGTAGTAGAAGAGAACAGAGCATTAACAGCAGGATACAATTGGGACACTCTGGATTAAACTCATCACTGCATCTGATTGGGAAACATCCAAATGGCAATTGTGATGGTTGCCAACAACCAGAGACAATACAGCATGTATTTTTTAGCTGCCCGGAATATACAAGGCAAAGACTCATTCTGAAAACTGCACTGGAACAACTCAACGTCAAGGACATGGATTTCAAATCAATATATGAAAGTAAATCAAGAAATGAAGCAAACAAGCTGATCTTCAAATTCCTCAAAAGCACTGGTTTGAGGACAAGGATTTAATATGAACATTTAATAACTCAACAGTAGGTGGCGATATATGCTCCAAGTGGAAGCGATTCACCATTAAAGAGAAGAAGAAGAAGAAGGGTTTGCTGTGTGAATCAGACGCCTCATACTTCTGCTCTCCCTGTGATAATTCAGTCGACGGTGGTTGACTTGTACATTTTGTTTGTTAGAGTGTTCCTTGTTAGCTTAGCATTGTGTTGACTGTTGTCACATGATATAGTGTGTTTCCTATTAGTATAGCGTTGTGTTGACTGTTTGCTCCATGTTACAGCTGTGTTTCTTAAACAGCCTTCTTTTGTTATGTTGTCCCCTTCTTATAGAGAGGGTTGATGTATTACTTTCTGTTTAGCCTATATATTTTATTGTACTTATCAAGGCTCCTTTTGTTGACCTTCATTTAGCTTTGCACCCTTTTGGGTTTTTGTTTGTGCCAGGCTGCCTGCCTTATTATTTTCTACCTATATTGTGTATGTAAAATAAACGCCTATAATATACCTAATTCCATACTGGGGTGTGTTATTTCCTTCTACCCTAGAGCGGACGTAACACTCCTATTAATATCTTTGGACGTCATGCACTAAACTGTTTTATTGTAGAGATTACTACAGTATCTTCTTGATATTTTCTATTCTATATTTCTATCATGCCTATTTTGTATGTAGGCTACTCTTAATATTTAAATGTTTTTTTATCAAATATCACTTATTCAACAACTAAATTCAATAACGTGCTTTAACAACTAGGCGGTGCGGGTTAAAAAACCAGTGGACGAGTTAATAACACATAATAATATCAAACATAATGACCATTAACTTTATTGTGAAATTAGAACAGAACGGTAAAGAAAAATAGTTTCAGTCTCTGGATTTGAAGCTTATGCATCGTACCATGAACCTGTATAGACCTGTAACAGTCAGCTGCGTGAGGAGTTGGAAAGGTAGTTCAGAAAATCAGTAATATCTTTAAAAACTAAAAGTCCCTTTCTATCAGCTGTGCATCGTTATGGTGTAAATACAGACTATCTACCAATTGTATCAAATATAAAAGTCAGCCGAATTAGTGTTGATACTGCAAGGAGACGTATTGTGTGAAAATAAATGGAAGATGTTTAATTGCTGATATATTTATGATCCACGTCACATATTCAGTTTTGGCGGCAGTTATTCCTGTGTGTCCAGAAGTCTTCTCATCAGGGCTCTATAAATAAAGAACTACAGCAGATGTGTAATATTGAATGCAGCCGAACCGTGTATTACAATGCCGTTATGTGATGACTTCCAAAGAGAAACGCAATAACACTCCGAATAAAGTATTATTATTATTTTTTAAATGTTTTCCGATTTCATATCGCATAAACACCATATCCCAACATGCATTGTGGCTAAAACATCCAGGATTATGGGTGTAGTTCAGGGGCGGACTGGCCATCGGGACGTTCGGGATGAATCCCGATGGGCCGGTACTGAAGTGGGCCGGTCGGACGATGTGGGCCGGCCGGTAACCGCCAGGGCTCGACATTATAAATGGCCCGCTGGCCCGGAAGCACTATTTAGACACGACAATTAATGTCGTATAATTAACAAGGCAAGGCAAGTGTATTTATATAGAACCTTTCGAGGTAATTCAAGGTGCTTTACAAAAATGCATTCAGACAAAGGCATTTAAAAACAGTAATTAAAAAGAAAAGATAATAAAAGAAATATTAAAAGAAAAAATACATTAATAAAAAGTACTTGAATAAAAAGCTACAGTGCAGTTTAAGATATGAATAGTTCCCACAGAAGTTCCATTTTACTGATGCCTTTAAGGTTTCTCCGAACATGAGCTGTGTACGCTTGTATGGCACATACGTCCTGAGCAGCATACACGGAGAAAACCAGCCAGGACAAAGTCCCCAGACTCTGATTCCCTGGGGTTACTAGCCCCAAATGTTCATCAACCAAAAACGAAACACAACCGCTCAGTTTCAATTAAAAGCAGCGGCAAAAAGAAAAGTCTTCAGCCTGGATTTAAAAGTAGTAAGAGTTGCAGGTTGCGAAAACTTTGAAACGTGATTATAGGTCGTAATAAGGGCTTGAACAATCGACCTATTTGGTCATATGAGTTATCAGCTGATTTTCAGACAGGTTTTTATATAAATGGATCAGGACAAAAAGAGAGAGAATCTTTCTTCCTGAAACTTTCAGAGTCTCTTTCCACAGAGGGGACACATGTTGAAGTAGAAGAGACATGAAGAAGAGGGGACACATGTTGATGTAGAAGAGACATGAAGAGGAGGGGACACATGTTGAAGTAGAAGAGACATGAAGAAGAGGGGACACATGTTGATGTAGAAGAGACATGAAGAGGAGGGGACACATGTTGATGTAGAAGAGACATGAAGAAGAGGGGACACATGTTGATGTAGAAGAGACATGAAGAAGAGGGGACACAT